TGATGTGTGCAGGGTAAATTTATAACCCTAGGAAACTGCAAGTGCCCAGTTGACAATTGTAGTACTTAGGGGTCGTTCCACTGAGGACTAAGTGATGATGCGCTACAAATCTATATGATGCGAATTAAGTTAGATGAATATAATATTTGGTTTTTAGGGTTTATGGAAGCAAATAACAAAGCAATAAATTAAAGGATAGATAGTTCAATCAAGATAAAAGATCAAGCAATTCTCAAGACATATGCAAGACACAAACAAACGATTTAGGGTTTTTAATACTAGTTGTTCTATAACTTAAATCACTAAGGTAAAATCATACCACTGTCGTGGATCAAACTTCTATGTCTTCTTCCCTAATAAACTCAACCATCGTATGGTTATTACAAGGTGAAGACACGCGTAAAGTGTAAGATTTTTGATTGTTCACTAAACTCCTTAACTAACCTATCGAATTGTTATGACGCTTAGCTCATCAAATACTAGGTCATATAACAAGTTTTTGGAGAGTATATCAATCTAATATCAGTCAATGGGTAGCTAAGCCAGATCATGATTTGAGCGTAAATAGAGATGAAGAATCAATTCTAGAATAAAACRTTAAACGTTCAATTATGTGATYACATAGAYATAAGAAAGTGCATAGAAATCAAATCAAGGCTAATACTCTACATGTTTTGCAACAAGGAGCAGCAAGAGTAAAGCAAATAAACATAGTATAAATCTTTGATCTACAAAGCGTAAGGTATTAGATCTCATCTCTTTGCAATAGAGCAAAGTCGAACTACCCTTAAAGGCTTTTAGAATCAAAGATGCATTAAGAACAAGAGATAAACGAAATACATGTTTAGATATTGATTTAGGCTGTTTGGCCAGCTGCTCTTACTTCCTAGAGAGGCTAAAAGCAAGTATATATAGGGGTTTAAGAGGTCCTAAGTCGGTTAGGGTTATCTTTGGGCAAAAGATTCGTTTACGTCGAAACTGCTCAACCACCGGTCCAACCAACGGTCGGGTTGCGTGACCGGTTTTGAGGTCTTCCTTAAGGCTTCTAGAATGTCTGAAATGGCATGGATCATCGGCCCACAGAGCGGCCCGGTGCTTGGCTCATTTCTGTACATGCTTCACTTCTAAGGCAGTTTGACATGTCTTTAGTGTTTACAGTGTATCTTCTAAAGTACAACTCCAAATGGTGTCTTTCCAAATTACTTGGAAAGCTAACTCAAAGGGTTATCTTTCCACGAAGTTTCATTAGATTCCAAGCTGATTTGGTCCTCCATTCATCAATGAATGTCTGGCATATACGTTCTGTCCAACTTGAGAATATGCTTTATCTTCAAGATATAATTACTTGCCTTGGCTCCTTTGACTTGAATAAGTAGTTGTATCATAGATAACACTCCTTTTGCTCCTTTTTGCATCCTTTTGATGATTAAACCTATTAAGATCTTAAAATTCATATATACGAGAAAACTACCTCTTTTGGTCGAAATATTTTATTAAAGTAATTAAAACATAGTAAAATAGATAATAAAAGTGGTAAAATATAGGATATATCA